AGGCAGAGAGAGAGGAGGAAGCAGGCTCGCTGCTGAGCAGAGAGCCTGATGAGGGGCTCAATCCCAGGACCCTGGGATCATGACCTGAGCCAAAGGCAGAGGTTTAACCCACTGAGCCACCCAGGCTCCCCTAAATACGTTTTTCTAAAGCAGATAATAAATGTATAGGTCATGAATACCCCTTGGGGTGGGAGAGCTCTCTACTCCTGGCAACAAGGAGAAGTTGGCCGGGTATCAAAGGGGGCCATGGATTTTCATGGACTCATTCCATCAAACCATGGGCCATTTTCTCTGTTCCCCACACTCCAATATCAACAGTTACATCTGCCCTCCCCTGGTACTTAGCCTTTTGTTTCTGTTCTAAGGTAGATCATCTGCTTTCTATTATTTATCATTAACTTATGACACAGCTCCCTCTCCACGAGAATCTGAGTGATTGGAGACAGTGACTCTAACTTATTTCTCAAGACAACCCTAAGCAATAAGGGGCCATTAATATCTCCATTTTACAAATAAGGAAACTGAGACACAGTGAAGGTAAGAAAGTGGCCCAGAGTCACTCAGCTTACCATAAGTGACAGAGCCAGAAAACTAAACCAGAGGCTATGACTCCGAAATCCTGCTAGGTCACTTGCGTTCCTGAGTTTCTCATGTGCAAAGGGGAAAACATTCGTCATCTAATATTTCTATTCAGACTTTATATTACTCTGCATTTCATACTGTAGCACAAACTCTCCTGACTGTTACAATCCCCTCTATCCATAGGATATGTACAATATTAATCACTTTTTCCCCAGAAGATTCTCTGCAAAGTAGCTTGGCTGGTTTTTTTCCTGAGAAAATTAGGCCTTCTAGAAATTCTAGAAATTACATTCGGGGGGAGGAGTGCAGGGGGGAGCGAGCGTATAGTAAGTTATATGTCATAAAGAATGTAGAATTTCCAAAACAGCCTGCGGGGGTTCGAATCTTGCTATTAGTGTCTGGCCTTGGGCACAGTATTTAACCTTTCTGCTTTGACTTCTTCATCTGCAAAACAGGCGGGATGACAACCTACTTCAAGCTTGTGGAGATTAAATGTTACAATTTATAAATCCACGCAGGGTCCTCAGTAAATGGCAGCTGTCATTTGCATAAGTACCTTTCAAAGTGTAGAACTTCCGTTCTTCAAAATAATTGTGATTTTAGGATATTAGGACTCAAATCTTTGTAAAAGTCATAAAGCATTCATCAGCCAAATTTCTGCCCATATTTTGGTGTCTTGGCAAGCTGCGGCAAGCCTCTCTTTGGAAATTTCAGGTGATTTGACATGACCCTTGGTCTCTAAACTTTCTAAAATGGAGATGTGATCAAGTTGCTTTCCCTCATGGAAGCCTTCAAGGTGCTTCCTTGCATTTGATGTATTTCCACCACCATGGTTTTCAAGATCTCGGAGACGGGCCCTGCCCATCCCTCCACCCTCACTCTTTTGAATTCTTTGTCTAGTTTCCAGATTGTTCCTTGTTTATTTATGCTGGTGGGTGCATCTGGGCCATTCTACCAGTTCTTTATTTTGCTTAATACAGTCTTCCCCTCATTCCCAGCACTGGTCTCTTCCTCATCTACCCTGTCTTTCTCACTCACATCCCATTCATCCGGAGGCTCGGGTCCAATTTCACCCCTGCAGATGAGTGATGTGTTACAGGGCAGTCCTTATGTCCCCTGTCATTGCACTTACCAGAAGGAATTCTAAGAGTTGGTCCGCGGGTTCATTTTCCCCTATAGGACTGAGCTCCTGGGAAGCAGGAAAGATAATGCACTTCTCTCACAGAGCATCTGCAACCCCTCATCACTGGGACTGGCAGCCATGCCGGAGACCATGGACATAGAGGCTTTTTGAAACAGACGTGCATTTTGTTCATACTCCCAACCCCTAGCACGTTGCCCCCTTAGGTGGTGTTTAGTAAATGCTTGCCGAGGACAATTTCTGGCAATCAGCAGGATGACCTAATTACCCCGGGTTTGTAAGTATTACGAACTACATATCTTCAGAGAGAAGTCCAAAGACATGCGCTCTACGTCAAGTAGGTGGGGCTACGATTTGATTCCGTGTCACTGAGTGCCCTGTTACAAGGAGGACACAACATCTCCCTAATTTTGAACAACTTATTGCCCGTTAACTCGATTGCTTGGAGCACCTGGCTAAGGAAGGGGGGGTTGCAGATGTGAACTTTCTGAATTCCTTAGCATTATTTTGCCTAATGGAACCGCTTCCCAAAGGGATGGCAAATAAAAGTACAGCCACTAGAGAATCTGACCAACTAGATGGTTTTCAGTGGAGGCAGCTCTGCCCTCTAGAGGACACTGTGAAATGGTGTGCGCCCATCTATGGCACCACAGTGGCCGGGGGAGGGGGCTGATGTGCCGTGGGTATTCATTCAGTGGTTGGGACTCAGTTTTAAAAGGAATCCGACAATGCATAGGATGGTCCACCCAACAAAGACTTGATGGCCATCACCATGACTTTGAAATTTCCCACCTTTCCTTTAGGTGGAAAACACCTAATCCCATTTTACCTATAAAGTATCTTTTGCAATGCTTTAATATACACTGAATCCTCCAGATTTATAACTACTGTGAAAATCAAAAGGAGATCAGACCTTGCTTTGTCTGGGGGAAAAATCACATTAATGGCCGCCATGCAATTAGGATGGTTGGGTTGCCAGTCTAACCTACATCAGTCTGGATTTGGAACTGTCACATCTCGGTGATTCTGCTTAGAGGTTCAAATCTGAGACCTTTATTAGGCCTATTGGAGCTGTGACATTTTGAAATAAATTAGTTTCCTTTTCTTTCTCCTTCCTATTTACCATTAAGCCATTGCATTGATTTTTTTAATCATATCTGTAGGAGGTAATATTACCTATAAATTTCATTTAAGACTAAAGGGATGGCACAAAGTATTTGTTCTAAGGAGACCTCATTGGGCCCAACAGAGTTGACATTCACTGCTGTAGAGAGAGGAACTGGGCTTCGTGCTTTACTCCACACTGGATTTCATGCACAGAAAGGTCAAAACCTCAAGGCAGGTGTCCCCTCGCTGTTGGCATCTAGTTTTGCACACAGCTCCAATACTGACAAGCTATGGGGCCTTGGGCAAGTTACTTCATTCCTCCAGGTCCGTAAGATAGGAATTGAAATACCTCCCTGTTTGCAGGTGTTTGGAAGAGAAAATGAGTCAGTGCATGTAAATATTTTCAGTAGTTTTGGACACCTGGGTGACGCAGTCAGTTAAGCATCCAATTCTTGTTTTCAGCTCAGGTCATGATCTCAGGGTCTTGAGATCGAGCTCTGCACTCACCCCACAGAGTCTGCTTAAGACTCTCCCTCTCCCTCTGTCCCTCCCCACCATGTTCTCTCACTCTCTAAAACAAATAAATAAATCTTTAAAAATATGTATTTAGAATAGTATTTGGCTCATAAGAGTCCAGGAGAGATTAACCTTAAAAATATCAAAGGAGCAGTATATAACAAACACGAATAAAACCAGTCTAATGACATGGGAGTGTGCTTCGAGCAAGCTCACAAATGTGTATCCTTCTCCTGTGAAGCTTTCCTCTTGCCCTTCTCTCCTCTCTCCCTCCCTTTCTTGGTTTCATCCTTTAATTATCTTGGTGAGTGTGGGCTATCTGAAGTCACTGTTTTAGTCATGGGAGAAAACGGGACTTGAAGTCAGAGCTCCTCTGCCATCAGACTGGGCAAAGGCACGGTTATCTTCGAACTTGCTCCTCAGCTAGAATGCAAAGTGGCAAGGACACATGGCCAGTCTCTTCGATCAGAATTCTACCTCTAAGCAGCCTTATTTTAAAAAGACTATTGAGGGACGCCTGCTGGCTCAGTTGGTAGAGCATGTGACTCTTAATCTCAGGGTCCTGATTTCAAGTCCCACATTGGGCTTCGGAGCTTACTTAAAATACAAAATAAATAAATAAATGTAGGTTGTATTTTAAAAAAAATGAAAATGAAAAGAGCTTTTGAGGGTGACATGTGGTAGCACAAATTACTTTAAACCTGGGTTTCCAAACAACACCCACAGGGGCCAGGTATGTTACAAAATTGAGGCAACTGGGGCAGGTTGGGGAGACCAAGCAGGAGGCTGGTGAATGGCAAGTTCCTGGTCTAAAAAGGGCCAGCCTAACCCCGGGGCAGTCCAGGACCCTCCGTGCCCCATCTTCTGAATGTCCCAAGAAGCCAAAAATCCAGACTCTTAGTAGAAATGTTCCAATTTTTAAATCTATAAAATTTCCCTTCCCTCCCTGCTTTTCACAAACCTTGATACAGAAAAGAGCTTCTGTAACCCCAAAACCAGTATAGGATTTTTTTTTTAATTTCAAAATATGAAGTGCTAAGTAAATACATTTCCTTTTATTGAATAGCAGAGAGTATCATTAAGAAGATAAAACGAAGCGCTTTGATCTAAAATTTCAAATGGGTTTCACAAAAACATAAAGTATTTTATTTAGTCTAACCCAGCAGGATATATGCCCAAACAGGTCATCATCAGACATGGAATTCAGCGGCACTTAAGATATGCAACATTAGGTGATTGTGACCAACAGCTGGGCTCTGAACTCCACAGTTATTAACATAAAAAATTTCAGTGTGACTACTAAATAATTAGTACCGTCAATGTGGTAAATACATTAAGTTACAAATCTTTACATTTGTACATAACTCATTTTACAAATAAAGGTTTTAAGACTCAACCGTCCAACTTTCATTTAAACACTAAATGTTGCTGAACAAAAAGTCTGCAATAAATATTCCCTCAGGTGGGTGGGGGAAATGCTTTTACATAAGATCTGTGTTTCAATGGATTTCCTGGTAAATATTTAAAACTTTAAACTCCTTGTGCGATTATGGAAATCTTGTATTCCGAAACAAAAAAAAAAAAAAAAAGCTTATATTTTAAACAAAATTTAGTTATTAATTTAAAAAGTAAGTTTTCTTACAATGCTAATGTTATTCATGGTTAGATTGCTCCCGGAATCAGAAATAGGTTGTTCAGCTGTCCGCTCAGGTTGCTGATTTGTTAATTTTTTTTTAAAAGAACTTTCAATAATTACCATCGGGTGTTTTTCTTCGCTTGTTGATGTACAGATGTATATTATGACTCACTAAACAACTTAGGTTGAAAAAAAGAACACATAGGCCTTTTCTAAACAGTATAGCTGAGCTGTCCAGTAACACATCTTCAGCCAATTTGCAACTTTAAAGTCGAGCAGCTCCCTATTTTGAATAAAAGTAGCGCAAACTGAAACGTAATAATCACAATGATTTGCAAGCCAGAAAGCAATTCTGTAACACACCCATCCTGCGATACGGGTTTGGGGAAACGTAGGACTAGAAAGGTGCTGTATTTTCCTAGCACATTCCTCCGGGACATTGCTGGGTTCAAGGGAAATTCCCCCAGAAGTCCTTGTGGCCATGGCAACAACCCTCCACCTGTCTTCCCGGTTGTCCTACTGGCTGGATTTATCTCTGTGGCTTGTCAGCTGGAACTGAAGTCCGGACAGCTCTTCCCGGGCAGCGGGGGCTCCTGCTGGAGGGGGTAGGTGAAGTATTGGGGTGACACCAGAAAACCAGATGGCTGCGTCAGGTGGATTGGGTGGCCTGTGGTGTAAGGTGGGGGCGGTGACGGCACCAGGCAGCCTGGCTCTGCTCTGGCAAAGGAGAATCTGCGGATAGAGCCCCCTGTGGAGCTAGAGCTGGTGGCCGTGCTGGACTGCCTGGAAGGTGCCCTGAGGCTTGTGGAGGTCAAGATCATGGGCAGGGTCTCTGTCTGGTAGCTGCGGAGTGAGAAGCGGATTGGCTGCTGCGAGGGCTCCTTGGGTCTCAAGCAGGTGCAGCAATAAACAGCCACCAGAGAGCCCAGGATGATGAAGGCGATGAAGATGGAGCCAACGATGAGGAAGGGAACGTAGACGGGCTCTAAAAGGTAAAAGCAGACAGACACAGGTGTTTGGACAAGAGTCTCCCAGACTCCAGGCAGCTCACGGGTGGGAGGTAAGCGGCTCGGTGTGGCCGCCCTTGTCAGCCCAGGCTCTCGAGTTTGTGACTGGTAATCTCTGAAGTGGGAAGTGAGATGGCAGAATGTTCTTGCTCCTAGCAGGGAGGAAGCAAGCTGATACTGGAGCCTCTGTTAGCAATTAGCCGTTACACTGCACATCTGGAAATCAGAAGGAACAGAATCTACCCTCCCGTTCGAGCGCTGGAGGGAGGGGAAGGGTGAGTTGTTTGGTTACCATGACTCTGGGTTTTAATCCAGGTTTTTGGTAGTTTTATCACGGTGGGGCTCTTAGGGCGCTGACCCATCTCTGAGGCTGCAAATTCTTCTCCCTTCCAAGAATCTCCAATCTAAGCAAAGAGAACTGAGCCTGTAAGTGAGACCACCATTATGAGACTAAGGAAAGAATGGTGTAAAGAAATGCGTAGTCGGCTCCCATTAACTGTGTCTGTGACTGCATGGGGAATTGTATCATCTCTGGATACTTCTTCTCAGAAAGGATTTGGGATGCCCACTCCAGCTGCCACACCTCTGCCCCTCATGCCCCCCCCAAACTCTGGGAAGGTCAGGCTGAACCTTAGATCATGAGACAGTTTTTAGTGTTGGTGGCTTTCTGGGAGAGCACCCCTCAGAGCAGACGCATTTCCTTCTCTCTGTGCAAGGCAGACATCAAATTTCCCACCCCTGAGCCCGCCCCCCAGCTCCCTGGGGACACTCCCAGTGTCTCCCCTGTCTGATAGAGCCACCTCTGGATGCAACCTCCAGGGCTGAGGCAAAAGAAAGAAAACCTGCATTGACAAAGGCCTTGCTGTGTGCCTGACTCTGTCTTATGAATTATCTGAATCAAGTCCATGGAGACTCTTGTAAGGAGGACATGGTAAGCTCTGTTTTCCAGATGTGGAAACGTACTTGTTTTTGACCCTCCCAAAGACACACAAGAACTGACTGACAGGTGACCATCAACCCGGAGGTTCTGTGGGTTCTTAGGCCTAAGCTCTTCCGTTGCCCATCCCCTCCGCCATGTTTAGTAGGCCAGGGGAAATCCACTGACTAACCACTTAGCTGGCCAGCAGCACGGTGCTAAGCATTTAGACACTCAATCTCCAATCCAACTCCTCTGATAATATGCCCATGTGAGAGTTGAGAGGAGGCCCAGAACAGTTAAGTAACTTACCCAAGTTACACAGCTGGCAAGGGGCAGAGCCACAAGCCAAGGTCCCTGAGTTCGGTGGATCCCACCTCAGTGAGTGCAGAGATGGCCCCCTCTCCTGCTGCCCCCCCCCAACAAAGAGGATTCCGGGAGGCTCAGGAAGGTATCCCCACTGCAGACTGTGCGTTGACACACTCCACAGAGCAACTGGGTCCCCGAGGATGAATGGAGTAAGCCAAGGGGAAGTCTGTATCGTTTTTTTTTGTTTGTTTGTTTGTTTGTTTGTTTGTTTTTTGTATCGTTTTTTTTTTAACAGCCAGGACCGCTTCGCGTTCCCTGCCTTCCCGGAGCATGTTTTCTCCAGAAACCACTTCTCCAACCCACCAGATTGGGAGTTTTGAAGCTCAAATTCCCTGAGAACAGAATGGAGTTCTAAGGCAGAGCAAGCTCCCCTTTCCTCTGGGTTATTACTCTCTCGGCGGGTGGCGCTGGGGCGGAGGGGGTCTCTGGGCACCATTAATTCTCTTTCCCGGGGACCTTCTCTTGCCCGGTCTAGACCTCCGCTGTGGAGTTCTGGGGTGTCACCCGCTCTTAGCTCCGCCTGTTCCCCCCGGTTTCCTGGCCAAAAAAACCATCGCCTCAAGCTCTAACGGGTTTCCCTGACGTTCCCATTCAGGTGGAAAGCTTTTTTTCTTTTCTTTTCTTTTTCTTTTCTTTTCTTTTCTTTTCTTTTCTTTTCTTTTCTTTTCTTTTCCTTTTTTCTTTTCTCTTTCCTTTTCTCTCTCTCTCTCTCTCTCTCTCTCTCTCTTTTTTAAGGTGTAAAGTTCCTCCTCTGGGGTCATGATTTACTCCGCTCTGAAGTGAGCGGAAATTTGACCCGTGTTTTCCGACCTGAGAATAGGGGGCGGGCAGCCCCTGCGACCCTAGTTTCTAAATCGCCACCTCGAGGACCTGGGCATTTCTGAAAGGCGTGACAATAGGGGGTGGGCCAGAGAGGGTAATTCGATGCAGAGAAATGAAAGGAAGTAGGGAGAACGAGGCAGAGGCTTAGGAACGCTACCAAAGATCCACCAAAAAACGGGGGGAGGAGGTGAACGCGAATCAGGTTCCTTTGCCCCGCGGGGCTGCGGATGCGCTCCCCAGGAGTTGCGGTCTCTGGCCGTCGACAATCCCGAAACTCCTGGAGTGACCGGGGTTCGCCATGGGGTGCTCCCACCGCCCTGGAAAAACCGCATCCCGACCTGGCGTTGTCCCCGTAGCTCTTCCCCTCACCTCCCGCGCTCCCGGGAGCTCCAGCTGTCTCGCCCAGGGCCTCCGGGTGCAAGCCCTGCGGTCCTCGCTGTCCCCTGCAAACTTTCCTGGGGCCGACCCGCGGAGACCGCGTGCGGAGGGAATCGGGACTGCAAAGGAATTAGGGTGCCGACCCGAAACGCGACCACCCGCTCCGCCTCGATGCCCCCACCTGGCCGCACCGCTGTGCGCGGAGCCGGGACCGCCTGGAGCGCACGCGGGCCGACACGCGCTGGCCGCGGGCGCCGGCGGGGGCCAAGGGCCGGCACTTACGCGCGGTGATGCCGGGGTGCTCCAGCTCGCCCCGGTCGTTGGTGCAGCTTCCCTGCTCCAGCCTGGCGTCAGCCGCGGCGCAGCAGTAGCGCAGGGCGCAGGAGCCGCAGCAGATGGTGGCGTCCAGCGTGTCGAAGTCCTCCGGGCACTGGAAGCCCTCGTGGTAGTTGCCCTGCACGTCCACCCAGCCGTGGCAGTATTCTCCGGACTGCTGAGCACCCGCCGGGCTCCAGCGCAGCCAGCCCAGGAGGAGCCAGAGCGCCAGCAGCGCCCCCATCGCCGCTGGGCGCCCGGGGCGGCCGGGAGGGGACGCAGCGGGAGAGCGAAGGGCTGGGCGGCAGCGGTGCCGCCTCTCCCCGGGCGCGGCTCGGGCGGCTGGCCCCCCGGCGGCCGAGGCCCCCCCTTGGCGCGGGCTAGCGCGGGCCGGGAAGGCGGCAGGGGCTGCGCCGCGGGCTCGGCAGGCCGGGGGTCTGCATGGTGCGCGGGGGCGAGAGGGCTGGGGCCCGCGGGAGGCGCCGGCGGAGGCTGCTGCTGGGGCTGCTACTGCCGCCCTTTGCGGGTCTCATACTGCGGCGGGCGCGAAGGGCGCGCCGAACCCTCGGCCGCCTCCCACCCCACTCCTCAAGGGAGCCATCGCGTCCCGGGCTGGCGACCCCCGCGCCGTCCAGCGCCCCGCCTCGTGGCCGTCGCCGGGTCCCGTGTGGAGCCCGAAGGAGGAAGAATTTGAGATCCCCGCGTGCGGGCGCCCGGGTCCCGCGGCCCCTCCACCCCCGCCCCTGTCTGTCGCGGGAACAGGAGTCGGCCTGGCCGCGGCCAAGTACAAACGGCCTCCGGGCTGCTGACAGCTCTGCCTGCAAGGCGTCCTTTAAAAAGGAAGAGGGAGGGGGAGACAGCGAGGGTTAAGAAAGAGTCCGCCCTCCTGGGTCGCGCCCGCTGGAGCTAATCACCGCGGGCGCGGTGCGAGCTGCGGGTCCCCGAGGCTCTCGGGTTCGCGCGCCCCCCTTCGCCATCCCGGGACACCCCTTCCACCCCCACCCCCCACCAACCACGCTCGCTCTCCCTGAACTCTAGACCTGCGGGGAGCAGGCCCTCCCCCCCTACACACCGTGACCCCCGCACCGCCCAGGGATGCCGGCAGAGCGAGGGCGAGGACTGCCGAATTTCTGCGGCCATCCACGCGCTAGGGCGCGCGGGGGTGGGGGGAGAGAGGCGCCAGTGCTTTGCCTGGATGTAATAAAAAGCGGGCGCGACGACCGAGGTCTGTCGAATCTTGTGTCGCCTGTTGCACCATTTCGGAATCGATCCTGGGACACCTGTTCTAAAGGTTCAGAACTATGATTTTAAGGGGCCGGCAACATTTGCACGTAGTTTTCCACCTGAAAGTTTCCACTTCTAGGAGGAACGGCACGTTTTCGCTGACAGACACACACAGGCGCTCCGCCCCACCCCCCCCCCGCCCCCCAACCTTCGGGCTGCCGGGTGAGGAATCGCCGGTCACCTCCACCAGCCGGGGGCAGCTCGAAAACCCTCAAAGAGCACGACTTCGTTCACGCCCACAAAGGAAATAAAAGAACAAAATTAATGATAATTGAGCCGATCTGAACTTCTGTTCGGGCAAAGAAACACATTTATTTAAATGATGTGTCCCCTGTGTGCTATTTTCAGGGGCACTGCTCCTTCATCGGCGTAAGTGCCTTCTGAAACTGGTGTTATGTGAAACCCAGGCTAAACTCGGGCATTTATTTTTACTGCATCCTGAACTTCCTCTCATCGTTTACTGGTGTGTGTGTGTGAATATGTTCCCCGTATCTCAACCTATTTGTCAAACACTCTGAATGCCCGTGTCACTGATTTAGATGTTGGCAAGTTGAGTGAAACAAAAGAGCCAAAAGTTTGCTGTGCACCAGCAATAAAAAGTGTGCGATCAAAAGCATTTACCACGCCCGCAGCTTCCCCATGGTCCCCAGTCGGTTCAGAGTTTTGTTTTGTTTTGTTTTGTTTTTAAAACTCTGAATAAAACGGTTTCTCTTTTTAAATCTGAGACAAAGTATATTCCAAGTAAAGAATTACTTCTGACTTCTTCTTTTAAATATTGGGATTAGCATTTAGTTATAAAAACGTAAAAATAATGCTCAACATTTCAAATGGTAAGTAATATTTAGCTTTCTTGTCTAAATATTTAGCGTTCTTGTTCTCTTAGAAATAGATATTGCTAGGGACAATAATAAGCTATTAAGTAAAACCAAAGTATGTTCTGGCTTTTATCTACAAACAAATAATGGTACAGTTTTTCTTAACTTAAGCATACAGAAAAATTGTTTTTGCAAAAAATTTCTTGGGTTCTATGTTTTTATTTGCAAAAAAAAAATGTTCTTGCCAGAATTAAAGTTTTTTTTTTTTAAGTTGTTTTTTAGGAGTGTTGTTTGGATTGAATATATCCTGAGCAATTAAGGGAAAAGGTCATTTCCAACCACAGCAAAAGTGAGCTCTAGTGATTATAATAAGATGATAAAACTACAAAGCCATGTTTACTGCTGATAACTTTCCCAGTACCACACCTCTTTATATTATTTTTGTTAAATTTAAAGGAATTCCATTACATCACAACTGCAAAAAGTTCTGCACCAGCAACATTTGCTAGTCCCCCAAGGGTCAAGTTTCTCTCATTATCCAGCTGTTCTTTGATAGCATTAATATTTTAAGGAGTGATTTGTTGGCGCTTACCTCCCATTAATTACATTCTCCATGCCACAGTGGGATTCTTTTCTTTAAGACACCAACTATAATTAATTCCTCCATCAAAGCCCCTGTCTATTTGACTTAGAGGGTATTTTACTCGAATCTAGTTGGATCTTACCAGTGGAAAAGAACCAAACCTTCGAATTACTTGATACTCCGTAGATCCGATGTGTGTAGACATTAGAGCAATTGTGTACCCTGCTTTCTTATCTAGATCCAGGTGCCTTTAAACCATTACAACAATCAGCTCAGGGGGCATGCCCACAGGGTTGGTGGGGGGCGGTGTTTGGTTCTTTGTAAGAGGAGAGCTCCTTGAACCTACACTGACAAATTCTAATGGCAAAAGTGATGTCCTTTGAATGTTCTTTGTGAATAGGAATGTGTATTTCTTTTTACGTTTATAAACATCCAAATTTCTCTGTTATTTTGTTATTACTTTAATAGTAAAGGAAGATTAAAAAGCTCTCAGAGACCCCCCGCAAAGACTCTAGGGGAAGACATGGAGGTGGAAAATAAAATCTATACCATCTGGAGTATTATGTGGAGGTTTTGGAAATTCTATATTTTTCCTTATCTCAGTAACACAAATTCCATATTTTGGTGAATAACACAGTCATAAGGGATCATTTCCTCAGTCTACATTCTCTTGTGGCCCTGCCTCCAGGAAATTCTATAGGAAATGAGTTAAATGATATGATGTCTGGGATTTGCTTTAATAAACACCAGCAAAAGAGAAAGAAAGAGTGAAGGAGGGGGGGAGAGAAAGAGAGTGAGAAAGGGGGGGAGAGAGGGAGGAAAGAAGGAAGGAAGGAAGAAAGGCAGGAAGGGAGGGAGGGGGAAGAGAGGAAGGAGAAAAAAGAGGGTACAGGAGAAATGGAAAGTGGAAGATGGAATGGAAGCAACTGGAACATAATTAGTAATATGTTAATCATTGTTGCTGTGCAAAGGGTACTTGTACAATCAAAACGCAATTTTTTTCTATTTTTATGTATGAAGAAAAACTACACACACAAGTTTTTCTTTTAATTTTTAATTGATAAGAATGGATCACATCATGAAACTGCCACGGGACCATATTTTTAAACTTTGTCTTGGTTCCTTCTCCTTGTTTTATGGTCTTTGGAGCAGAGTGAAAGATTTGAGAAAAGTAAAAGCAGAGAAGTAAAGAAAAAGAAGGCAAAATGAATGCATCAGAAAGGACTAGAATCGAAATGTAGTAAGAAAAGGAGGAGAAAAGGCAAAGGAATGTAGAAATGAAAATAAATGAATGAATGAATGAATGAATAAATAAATAAATAAATAATAAGGACAATTCACTTTGGCTTTGGAAGTCCCCTCCAGATCATTTGCACTGATCTGGAAATAAAATAAAAAACAACAACTTCCTCAACCCCCCCCCCCCAAGTTCCTTTCTGGAGTGATTTCTTATCACTAATCTTCCTTTAATAACTTTGTCCAAGACTTAATGGAATTTTCTTCCTTGAATCACTCACTATAAATCTCTTATTCCAGGACCCTGTGAATCTGAGTTACTGGAAAGGTATTTTCCCTCAAATTCGCTTTGGCACATATTCACCGCTGGAGAACAGCAAGGTGCCCAGAAGCGTACTCCCAGCCTCCAGCAGCCCAGCGCTCCCACCCCCCCACCCAGCCCCCTGCCCTTCCACCTGCCCCATGCATTAGCTGGCCTCAAAGTCTTCATTTATGAAGAGGGGATTAGACATAGTGCCCTTACAGCAGTGTTTCTCAAACCATCAGGTGCATAGAAATCACCTGGGGACCTTGTGAAAATACAAGTTTTGATTCCCAAGGTCTAGGAAGGGGCCAGAGATTCTGCGTTTCCAGCAAGCTCCCACGTAATGCCAAGGCTGCTGGTCTGAGGACCATCCACTGCGCCCCTCTGGTCCTCCTCTACCCTTGCCCCCACCCACAGGGGAAGAAATGAATAGAGCCAAAGGGACCCAAGAGAAGCCCATTTCCTCACTTTCTATACCACTCTCTGGGCCTTGAGATACCAGAAGTCCCTCCTCAAATAGACTCAAGCTTTTGCTCCTAGGGTTTCCAGAAGCCATATCCTGGTCAGAAGAGGTTCCAGGACCAGGTGGTTACAAACTTACAAACCAGGCGAAGATATCCTAACCCTTACACAGGAGGGCCCCTGTGGTGCAAGATGGATGCCCAGATGGGAAGGGGCGGGGCGGGAAGGGGCGTGGCAGACCTGGCGGGCTGCCTCCCTGTCTGTCCTTGACCCAGTCCAACCTGTTAGGACGGGCTGTTGCCTAGCAAGTCTTAGGGGCTCAGTAAACTGTCCAGAGGGAATAAGTGAGTGATTGAATAAATGACAAAAGGAACGTTTTCCCTTGATGATTTCATAGCCTCTACCACACCTCACTGTAATTCTGTGATAGAGCATGTGTCTTCCGCATTCGTTTGACCTCCTTTTCCGCGGTTATATCCTGGAACCTCGCAGAGCACCTGGTACATAGTGAGCGCTCAGTAAATGTTGAGTAAATAACTGTAAACAATAGATGACTGGTTGAGAACTTGTGACAACTGAGTGACATCTCAGTACTATATAGAGCTTCAGCAAGCGAGTATCTGGGAGTGACCATCGGGGGACACTGCAGGCCAGGAGGGATTTGTCAGAGTCAACCTCTGTAATTTAACTATTAAATCCAGCTCATCAAGAACTGTCCCAGGCTGGGGCACCTGGGTGGCTCAGTGGGTTAGACTCTGCCTTCGGCTCAGGTCATGATCCCAGCGTCCTGGAATCAAGTCCGGCATTGGGCTCTCTGCTTAGCAGGGAGCCTGCTTCCTGCTCTCTCTCTCTGCCTACTTGTGATCTCTGTCTTTTAAACAAATAAATAAAATCTTTAAAAAAATAATAAAAGAAAAAAACTGTCCGGGGTGTTGGTCGGGACAGCAGACAGCAGCCCGCATCCG